AGAGGAGTTTGTCTTGATTGGTGGGCTATTAGGCTGAATTGAAGCCAGAGATGGATTGTAATTAAGTTAAAAATATAAACCGGTCACCTTGACTTGTGGGGAACCAACCTCGCTGTCCCTTCTGGGGAAGCTGAGGCCCAGGATGAAGCTTGCTGGTTCCAGGTGCCAGGTATGTTTGTTTTAACCCCCTGGGAGCTTCAGGGCCCTGGAAGCACCTGGGTGTGCACAGGCCTGCTCCCTGCAAAGCCCTCAGCGGGAACCCCGCTGCTCCACCGGACAAGGAAGAGGGTCTGCTCCTGCCGAGACTTACAGCCCTGGCTCCGGCCGGGCAGCTCCGCTCCGTCCTGCAGAGGGCCCCTCCCTTTGTCACTTGCTTCCCTGCAGCAATCCCCTGCCGACTGGTTAGCCAGTGGTGTACTTTAAACTAAAGGTTTGGTTCTTACTTACATTGAATAAGAACGTTATTTGTTTCCCTTCCTAACTTTACCCCGCTGCCGTCGACGAGAGCCCATGCGATGCCCACCCCTCACTCCTGGGTGCCCGCGGTGCTCCGGCCCATGTGACCCCGTGAGTTTGGAAGTGACATGCATTGTCGTGTTTGGTCTCGAAGGGCTGTACACCTCCTGTGGTTTCCCCGAGCCTGCAGTGATTCCTGAAGAGGGGTAAGCATCCGGCAACATCCCTCCAGCAGTGTCCACGGCCCTCCCCACAACGTCCTGCCCCCAGGCTGCCCCTCTGGCCCCTTCTCCAAGCTCTTCCACAGAATTCCATGCCACGGGCCTGGGTCCAACCCATGTTGGGACCGGGAGGCAGCTCTTCCCAAAGAGAGACGCACGACAACTTGCAAAAGTGTAGGGGACTGCTGAGAAGAAAAGTGGCAGACAGTGGTGATGGGGCAGATCTGGACTGGCCGAGCCATACTCAGCCGCTTACTCTTCACTGCTGTCCTGGCGGGCTGTCACTTTGTCAGTCCTTCTCACAGGGAGGGACCGGAGGCCAGGGACCCTGCAAACTGTCCTGGCTCATTG